TTCACGGAGAGGAAGGAGAGCAGAAAGACGTAGAGACTGAACGCGACATATAAAATCTGTACCAGGTCTGCCTTGCCAGCGGTTACGATACCCCATGTTAGACAAGTTGTCTCGACGAAAACGCTGGCTGCGAGTACAATGGCTACGACCAATTTTCTGATGCGTGTCTATAAATTTAGAAAAAAATAAGATCTTGTGAACGAACTACGATGATTGCAGGGACTTACACGTCTCCAAAACGCATCTGGGTCTACAGGGAAGCCGTCGACCAGATCCAGTGGCTTGATGACATTGAAAGGATCGTGCTCAACACTCTGGAAGTCGATGACTTCGAATTCGCCCTGCGACTTGAAGCGGCTTGAAAGGAATGAAACGGCACTGATGCAGGCAGCTGCACCGAGAGCAACAGCGAACGAGAGTTCGAGCGCGAACATGGCCAACTGACCGCAGACGCACAACTACTCCTGCACAAACACACACACACGAAGAAGTAATGGTGGTAAGATGAGCTCTGAGCATGAATAGAGTCGGACCACACGGCTAGCCGAATTCGAAGCTATGTCATTGCTTTTTACATAGGATTGAACAGCAATATCTCCACCAGTCCCAGTACTTACTAGAGGTGCTTACTTTGACGTGCGAGTTTCCACAGACACCTGAATATTGAATGTGCGTGGCTTACATATGATCATGAAAAGGCATGAATTGACAGAAGTACAAACTTACAGTATGTGTACCATCCGTCTATAAGATGTGTGACTCACCCTACGGATAGAGTCGGACCCAATCATAGAGAGCACTTTACTCGTTGCAAGTGAACTACCATGCACGCGCGCACAGTCGCGCTCCGTTTGGCGCGACGGCGTCTGTACAGCACGCCCGCCCCGCAGATGATCACGCTCACTGTCGACGGTAAGACCGTGAGCGTCCCCCAAGGCAGCGCCCTTATTCAGGCTTGCGAGGCCGCCGGATCCCCCGTCCCTCGCTTCTGTTACCACGATCGCCTTGCTATTGCTGGCAACTGCCGCATGTGTCTCGTTGAGGTCGAGCGCTCACCGAAGCCCGTCGCCTCCTGCGCGATGCCCGCGATGCCCGGTGCCGTCGTCCGCACAGATACCCCCGTCGTCCACGCCGCGCGCGAAGGCGTCATGGAATTTCTGCTCGCAAACCACCCGCTCGATTGCCCCATCTGTGACCAGGGCGGCGAGTGCGATCTCCAGGACCAGTCCATGCGCTATGGCGCAGATCGTTCACGTTTCCACGAGATCACCGGTAAGCGTGCTGTTGAGAACAAGGATCTCGGCCCGCTCGTCAAGACGAGCATGAACCGCTGCATCCAGTGCACACGTTGCGTCCGTTTTGCCAACGAGGTCGCTGGTGTAGAGGAGCTTGGTACCACCGGCCGCGGCAACGACATGCAGATTGGTATGTATGTCAATGCCGTCCTTCCTTCGGAACTCTCCGGCAACATCGTCGATCTTTGCCCCGTCGGTGCCCTCACATCTAAACCGTATGCTTTCCATGCACGGCCTTGGGAGCTCAAAAATACAGAATCCGTTGATGTCCTTGACGCTCTCGGCTCCAACATTCGCGTCGACTCGCGCGGCGTCCAGGTCATGCGCATCCAACCTCGCACCAACGACGACGTAAACGAGGAGTGGATTTCGGACAAGACGCGCTATGCATACGACGGACTTAAATATCAGCGCCTCACCAAGCCTCTTATCAAGCAGGGTGACAAGTGCGTTCTCTTTCGTCACATCTTGCCTCTATGTATCTGCATTCACTCTCCTTGCCTTTTGATCCGAAAAGCTTGACCTTGTCATTTCCCCCTTGTACTTACCCACACTCTCTTTACGCACAGATTCGTTGAGGCTTCATGGCAAGACGCGCTCGGCGCCGTTGCAGAAGGTCTTGCACGCACGCGTGCCACGGCTGACGAGATCGTCGGTGTCGCAGGCGCACTCGTGGATACAGAGGCTCTTGTTGCACTGCGCGACCTCGTGCACCGGCTGGGCTCAGAGAATTTGAGGACGGATGGGAAGGCCGGTGAGTTTTGTTTTTGGCAATTTCTGTTCCATTCATATGACGTTGATGCTAAAGCATTCGCTGTGTATCTGCAGATCCTACCATACACGCCGGAGCCGACATCCGTTCAAACTATCTCTTTAATACCACCGTTCCTGGTATTGATGAGGCGGATATGGTATTACTGGTTGGTGAGTTGTTTGGTCTCATTTTTTGTTACATTTTTTGTTCGGGCTCGGTGGCGGTCGTACGATCACGACGACTGACGCTGACGATCTGACGCAGGCACAAATCCAAGACACGAAGCACCAGTATTGAACTCACGCATCCGCCGCGCGTGGCTCAAGAATGGGGTTGAAGGTGCGTCCGTGTTTTGTTGGCCGAATGACTGCTTTCTGGGGACTAATGGCTTGCTTTGTACTATTCACTCGATACCCCACGACGTATTTTCGGGGTCACCTAACTCGCGCACGACCTTGACTGACTTTATGTCGTTGTCGCGTCCCCGTTTTCTTCTGTTCTCATCCAGTCGGCTTCATTGGCCAACGCGCGGATACAACGTATGGATATGAGTACCTTGGCGCGGACGCGCAGGCCGTGCGCGATTTCTGTGCTGGCAAGGTTTGTATCGCTCTTGTTGGCCTTCATCAGGGTGGTTTAATTTCATGTCGGTCTTGCTGGCTGAGAGGCACTGCCTGGTCTTGACCTGAATGTACGCCAGGCATCGCGTGCCTACTTTTTCTTCTTACATTTTTCTTTTGGAACTGCACTGTTCTATTCGAACATGGAGCTGATGTTATCATCATTCCTGTACAGGCGCCAAGGGTGCCTCAGTCTCCACTCTCGCCGCCGTCGCTGTCGCATGATACAGCATCATTTGCTCACCACCTCACGAGAGATGCAAAGAGTGCGTCGTTTGCAGAGCGGTAAGTGTTTCACCTTCACAATCGTTGTAATGTCACAATACTTGTTGTGGTGTGCTGATTTGCATTGGGAACCTGCTAGGTTCGCCGCTGCAAAGCGCCCGCTGATTATAGTCGGCAGCGGTATTGCAGACCACGCGGATGGCGCAGCTGTTCATGCTGCTCTTGCGGCATATGCACTTCACCACAAAACTCTCGTCGGCGAGGAATGGAATGGGTTGAGTGTCTTGCAACGGGTAGGTTGTGTGTTTTTTTGTGATATCGTTCCATTTCCTCTTCACTCCTTCCCTCCCCCTTACCTTCCCTATCCCGCACATTCAGCTGTTTGGCTCCGCGTTCAGACGCCTCCTTTTCACGTTCTTACTGTGGGACTCCCCGCTGTTTTTCATCGTGTTTGTGTGCTTATCCTTTTTTTTGCCTGACAGGCCGCTTCTCGTGCTGCAGCGTACGAGGTCGGTTATGTCCCGCCACGCAAGGCATCAAAAGTGAAGCCGAAGTTCATGTACCTTATGGGAGCGGACGAGGTCGATCCAAAGGATATACTGGAGGTGCGTGTCTCAAGTGCCATGTACAGGATAATTGCTCGAGCTCAATGATTCTTCTTTCAAACTCGCACGCACATTCGCATGATGCGATCATGCTCAATTATTCTTGATTGTCTCATGTCGTACAGGACGCATTCGTCGTGTACCAGGGCCACCATGGTGATGCTGGCGCCTCAGTTGCGGATGTTGTGCTCCCTGGTGCTGCGTACACGGAGAAGGGCGCGACATGGGTAAATACGGAGGGTCGGGTACAGCGTGGACGTGCTGCTGTTGGCCCGCCGGGTGTTGCGCGTGAAGACTGGAAAATTATCAGGTGAGTCGACTTTCCCCTTGTTTCGTGGTCATCCCTCCTGCGTGCCCAACGAATGAGTTGAGTCGGGGCGAGGGGGATCTGAGGTGTGGTTATCGAAAACCAAACGCCGTTACTGACATGTCTTTGATGCAGAGCTCTGTCGGAGATCCTTGATGTGACACTCCCATACGATGACGTGCTCGCACTGCGCGACCGCATGTGGGAGATTTCGCCAGCTCTGGTAAGGTATGATGCGGTGGAGTTGACGAGTGCGGAGATCGCGCGTGCGGGTCTACGTGCGGTTGTTGAAAATGCGAAGAAGGGTGGGGAGGTGAGTTTTTCATTTTTGTGTCTTGTTCTGCCCCTTGTCCGTATGTTTCTCTCCTTGCGGAGAGGAATCCTACTTTGCGCAAGGACGTCCACTCTTGCGTAAGGTTGGAGAGGAGGCCGTTGGCTCCTGTCACCTGGTCTTGCTTGTTTTCGCTTGCGTGTTTGGCCCTTGGATATGTGCGTGTACTGACCTGTACGCTGTGTTCTCTCACGCAGATCAAACTCTCCGGCAAGCCCTTTGTCCGCCCTATCTCCAACTTTTACCAGACTGATCCGATTTCGCGAGCGTGAGTCTCTCCTACTCTTCCATTTCGTTTGTGCGCGTTCGGTATGCTGATGGTTTTCCCATTTTCGTGCACCCGTTTCCCTATCTCATTCCCTGACCATCTCCGCCCTTGCCCGTGATTTCGTTTTCTCGACACAGATCTGTTACGATGGCACACTGCACGAAGGCGTTCGTCAAGGGCGAGTGGGCGGGCGATTCGAAGAGCGAGGTTGCGTTCGCATGATAGAACCACTTGTGCTCCGGATCGTAAGCTAACGGTTTTCTTTTCTCGTCGGGCGTGTTTTGAAGTTGGCATATTGTGTGTAGGGTGCCGTCGTGTCCACGGAAGATCGTAAGCGTTAATGCCACTGTATCTGCTGGGGTTACGGGTTACGGCTGTTGCCTCTTCCCCTGCGCGCTCGTAGAATAAGTATATGTATAATTACATGTTCCTTTCGCGCATGAGGAGTACAAGCGGATTGAATGAAAACGTTGTGAAGACATGTTGCTTTTCATGTCGGTCTTTGATTGTGTGTGCGTTGCTGTGTTGTTGGACTTTGAGGTGGGTACGATGGGCTAGATGAGTTTATATCCACACAGCGGGAAAGCCCAGTACAGGGCGCTTAGCTCAGGGGTAGAGCGCACGCTTCGCATAATCTGATCAACAAATACAGGCCTTGCGTGAGGTCGTGGGTTCGATTCCCACAGCGTCCATGTTGATGAATTCAATAATTCTTTTTTACGCATTACTAGTATCCTACACCGACAAAATCGGCGTAAACATAGAAGACGGAACTTCCACAATTTCAACACATCAATTCTGATTTTTGTGCACCGTTCCGCGAGTATCAAAGTGTATGGTGCAAATCATGAGCAAGTAAGCATCTCTATGTGGGCCTGGCTATGTGAGCTGCGAGGCCGACAATAAGCTGGGTATCGTTCCTACGGAGTTCGTAAGTTGTTGCTGACTGTGGTCAGGCCGGGGAGGTTGTAAATGAAAGATTTATGTGTGTATGAATAACATTTGTGATTCAATGTGAAAGACGGGGATGTTACTTAGCACGGGAGTCATCATTGCATCAAATGTGGTGGTTTGACTGGTCAGTAGATATCGAGAGGCTATGAAAGAGTACAGTGCTTAAAAAGACAATATTTGAAGGAAATGGACACTGTGGGAATCGAACCCACGACCTCACGCACAAGGAGCATTTAAATATTTCGTCTATGCGAAGCGTGCGCTCTACCCCTGAGCTAAGAGCCCCCAACGTCGCGGAACATTGTATGTGAGTCTTTTTGAACACGTACGCGCAAGAACGACGTCCGACATTCAAATAAGGACAGCTCCCACTGAATGGAAGGCAGTCAGATAGTAAGTGCTATGTAAGTGAGAAAAAAGCGATTATATAAAAGATTTGAGGCATACGCACATTGTCACGCAATGGTTCATATTGAGCTCAACAGCAAAACAAAAAACTCAGCTCACCTTATCGGAAAAGTCGAGGTAAAAGACTGGTATTGGCGATCGAGAGAAGGATCCGGCGTGAGGGTGAATAAATGGTGTAGGGGGCTGTCTGAGGAACAGCAAGACCTGCCTAAAAAGATTGATGTAGCGGCCACATAGCCTTCACGACATGAATTTGTTCAGCAGCTAAGACATGAAGTTCCAAGGACATATGGCAGTAGAGCAGAATGCAAGCTGTTAAAACACACTTACTGCAACAAAATGGACACTGTGGGAATTGAACCCACGACCTCACGCATTCGTAGAAATTCTTCTCCAACCATTGTGACTATGCAAAGCGTGCGCTCTACCCCTGAGCTAAGCGCCCCATAACTTACGCAGACGAACGGCACTTATGGAGGCAAGGCTCTGACTGCAACCTCGGGATGCACGACACTGGAAGGTTTGATACTAACAACTACACAGAGAGTGTGGACAGGCACGTTGCAGGTGGGCTTGTGTGACCGTTAATGCGGAATCGCAGATGGCAAGGCAGTGAGCGAGATGCAAGGATACAATGATTTCCAAAAGGGAGGCAGCTCAAAACAAAAAAAGGTAATCGCATAGACACTTCCACTAGGTCAAAATAATAAACAAGGAGACGTTAACAAAAAGAACTGACTAGTACTGACTTCCGGTCAGGTTTGAGCATGACGCGTGATTGAAAGGTTCATAGACGCCGCCAGCTCGCCGACCGATATTAATGATCCCCGAACAGTCGATGTTGCGCTAAACAAATCAAGACCGTAAATTTCTACAATGTTTATCGATTACGGTTGCTAGAATTTCTTAGGTCTAATGAGGTACATATACGAAGCATTTCTTTCTAATAAAAGACTTGACTGACTTATAGAAAGCAAAGGGCTCGAAACACGATAAGAACGGGCAGTCATACGTTTATTTTTAGACACTCCGCCGCTTATGCACCCGTCGGACGAGACACCGCGACTTACGCGTCTTGGCCAAGACTCAGCGGGTGCCGCGCACTATAAAGTCAGGCAGGCGACTTCTGAAAAATGACCATCCAATTTTCCCCATCACCATGTCTGTTCCTACGTATACGCTCAACGACGGCAACAAAGCCCCCTGCATGTCTTTCGGCACGGGGACCGCCTACTGGAAACGCGAAGCCACTGACGGTATCCTGATGGCCCACAAGATAGGCTTTCAACATATCGACACTGCACACGTATACGAGAACGAAGAGTCAGTTGTGAGCAGCATCGATCTACCTTTATCGGATCCCTCGGCCTAAGCGTTGTCTCTTCTCTTCCTGTGCAGGCAGCCGCCCTCGCCACGTTAGGCAGGCCGCGCTCCGAGTTTTATATCACCACAAAGCTCGACATCACCTTTCAGGTGGGTAAGGGGCGCACCGTGCGCGACTGCCTCCTTGAGTCGCTACGCAAGCTCGGCACGGACTATGTCGACTGCTACCTCGTACACATCCCGGAGCCCTCGTTCACTCAGGGTACACTGCCGCAGCTGTGGAAGGAGATGGAGGGTGTCAAGAAGGAGGGGCTTGCGCGCTCCATTGGCGTGTCCAACTTTCGCGTCAAGGATTTCGAGGCATTTGTCGACGGCGCGGATATTATGCCCACGATCAACCAGATTGAAATGCATCCTTACCTCTACAAGGTTTCGAAGGCTGTCATTGAGTACTGCCAGAGCCGTGGCATCGTCGTCGCCTCGTGGGGCGCCCAGGCACCTCTCGTACGTCGCCTTGATTCATTTTCAGGGTTTTATCGCTGGTTACTTATGCAGCTACGGACGACAGGCACGGGATGAGGTCAAAAACGGGCCCGTTACGTCCGTATTGGAGACGATAGCCGCGCGTTTGACAGCGTCATCTGGCTCGCCCGTGTCACTGGGCCAGGTGCTGACCAAGTGGCAGCTGCAAAAAGGCATTCTGGTCGTCTTGTGAGTTATGATCTGCGCGCTCCGCGTGAATATTCTAAACGATAAATTAGCACCTCTACCAAGGAAGAGAGAATCAAAGAATTCCTTGCCGTGCCTCAATTGCCCAACCTCATAGACGATGAAATTGTTGCTATTGAGGAGGCAGGCGCAAAGATACATTACCGACGCGTCGCCCTCAATCTGTTCCCGGAGGAGAACAATCCTCCGGATCCGAAGTGGTAGGTAGCATTATCAGATACTATTGCCCGAGATGTCAAGGTCAGTTGGGTTATTAGCAATTCTAGTCTAAGTAACGGTTTTGAGTGACACAGTTGAAATTGTATGAAGTAGTTGAGAATATTGCTTGTATGACAGCCCTCTCCAGGTTCAAATTACACGGTATACTTTTTCTTGATGACGTTTACCTCTGCCTTGACACGTCTCTAGAGCATGTATATCGTCTCGCGGAAAAGGAATGGAAAGACTTTGTGGAAGCGTTTTCTATTGAAAGTAGAAATTATTGTTTCATCCGGCGTCTAGCCTCGCCTTTTTTGCGGAAATACATCAACGTCTCTCTCTCGTCTGATGGCTCCTCACCGCAATCTCGCGGCGTCTGGTCTCCACATTGATGCTGAAATGGCATCCGGTGTTGCTGCTGAAATCTCTCAGATGCCATGGGAGCCAAATTCTAACGTGCTCAGAGTCGTAACTATTTCCGATACTCACAGCAGACGACCTCCGATCCCACCTGGCGATATCTTCATTCATGCAGGCGATCTGACAGGGTGTGGCACGGCGGACCAGCTTCGCGCCGTTGTCTTTTGGATCTCTGGCCTCCTGCATCCTATCAAACTCATCGTTGCCGGGAATCACGACGCCTGCCTTTGCAAGCCGTTTCTCGGACAGCTGGACGGGAATACAGATGCCGCTGCTGATATCGACTGGAATGCGGCGGGCATCACCTATTTGGAGCATTCTTCCTCTGAGATCCAGGTGAGGGGAAGAACGCTTAAGGTTTTTGGCTCTCCATATACCCCCGCCTTTGGTAACTGGGCGTTCCAATATCCATCTTCCTATCGTCCGGCACCGAAGTGGGACGACATACCGTGCGATACAGACATCTTGATCACTCATGGCCCTGTCCGTGGACTTCTGGACCAGGGTTATTTTGGACCTGCGGGATGCAGCCAACTGAAAACCAGTATAGAGCAAATTCGGCCATTCCTGCACGTCTTTGGCCATATTCACGAGGCGCGCGGTCACATGAATATCACGTGGGACACCGGCGTGTGCAACACTCTAGACTAGAGTCTGCTATAGAGATACCTCAGGTCCTCAGAAACAGCCTCTTCATTTGTCCCCTCGACGTCTCCGGCCGCCTCAGAGTGGATACACAGACACGATGTTCGTCAATGCGGCCATTGTTGCGCAGGTTTTTTTTTCCGACGTAAGTATGAAAGAACTTCATGAAACTTGGTGCGAAACATTATGATAGTTAGCGTACACTGGCAAGTGAGTATTCTACATCCTATGCGAATATACATTTACAACCCAATTTCCTAATCGCGTGCGTTCGCCTGAACGACGTAGCCGTTCAATACACTCGCTTACCCCAGGATGCAAATGAGAATGTCGACGATACAGCGGCAAAGCCCCTTGCCAGAATTCCTTCGCGTAGCGTGATTCCACGTGTAAATCGCCTATACGCAAAAAACAATCTGCAAGGTCCTTGTGAACACCCATTTTCTGGAATGTATGCCCCGCGATAATAAACAGGTTAGCGGCCGTTTGTGCATTTGACCAAATCAAGAATATGTCGCCCATTCGTACAAGCGCTTGATGGCAGACCTTGCCAAGACCGCTCGAACGGGAGTGTAGGAGGCAGAGGATATAAAGCTGCATTGCTGTGTGCAGGTGGCCATGCTTCTGTGCGATCTCACCCAACATTATGTAGCAGACGGCCTTCACACCTCGCCTTGAGTAAGTGCTGGAAAGGCATAAGCGAAATAGTTGAGACGCCTCCGCGAATAATCCGCTCGTGAAATGCCAATGTGCCGCAGCCATAGTGCATTCGACTAAGCCATCTGTATCTTTGCACCGCAGGAAGACGCTGGACGCGCGGCCGATGCGCATAAGTCCGTCGGACGCTGCCTTCCCGGCTTTGCATTCGGAAACCACCGCGTTAACCAGGGAACACGCACGAAGAAATTTCAGACGCGGCGTTGTCCCTTGTATCTGTGCGCAGTGGTTAAATAGATGTGCGGCGGCATCGCACTCCGATCTTTGCAGATGAATATGGGCGCGCAGCTCGTCGAGCTCGTAAGTGGGAAGAGAGAGGCAACGCAGCAGACGAACGGCCTCTTCACAGTACTGCTCGGCCGGTACGTAGTAGCTACCAGCGAGAAGGCACAAGCTCAGGGCTTGCAATGCGCATGTTTTGAAGTACAGGTTTTTCAGTGATATTGAAAGCGCCAACACCTTCTCAAAAAGGCGATGAGCCTTTCTTCTTCGGCGGAGTCTCAGTAAGGTGAAGCCAAGATCCCATTGCGCCTCACAGAGGAGTGTTTCGCCGTTGTCTTGCATAGAAGAGGCTATGTTTAATGCGTGCTCAAAGCAGTCAATAGCGTCCGACAGACGTCCAGCCGATATCAACGCTCGGCCCCGGGTTATATAACATCTGCCTGCAGAGATATCCGCCTTTTAGACGCCATTCAGAGTGCAAAACGAGGAAATACTCACCTAGACCGCTTGCGTCGTTCACTTTGGTATACACATTTTCGGCGCAGTGGAGATAATAGTCCTGCGTCTCCGGCCACTGCGCCATCCCGAGAAAAAACTCTCCCTTGACTTTTGCGGTTGTCTCCGGATGCAACATCCGATCTCCAAAACGAGCAAGCGATGCTTTTGCGCCGGGGAACCACCCCGTATGCCGCGAGAATCTGCCAAATTCGATGGTGCCTAGAATTAGAGACATTAAATCATCTTCGTCGAGCGTAGGGTCCTCAGCTGCGTCTGCGAGGAAGGATGCAATGTTATTGACATTCTCCTTTATATGACGGACAATGTTCGAGGATGGCGCGAGGCCGACGGTTGAGTAGAGACGCAGCGCCAACACAAGCCCATCGCACATTCTCTTTACACCCTGGGTGCCCTGAGCGCGACTACGCTTTACAGACGTGCGCACAGGAAGAGGAGATACCAGGACCTGTCGGTCGCGCGTACTCTGCGCGAAACCAAGTAGCTTGAGAGACCGGCAGCACTTATGCAATTCAACGCTATCGGGGATAAATTTCGATATCAGAGATACATCTACGCCGTCGGGTGCCATCGAGAGCACGTCCAAGAACTCTTGCGCTTCTTTTGGTGCGCCCGACAAACAGCATGTCTGAGCGAACGCAGTGGCTTCCCTTGTTCTTGACCCTTCAAAAGGCT